GGAAGAGTGAGCAGATGGTGGTTGCCACTTGTGCCTGAGAGGCTTTGTTCTCAACTCGCCTAAAGAATGAGCTATTGACGGAAAGAAAACCTATAAAATGTGCTTTCATCCTCAGCACACTGCCTCTTAAGATCAAAGTACAAAGTTGCAGAAGAGCAGGGGCTAAAACATTAACCAAACTTGGGAACTTTTCTTTGGCAGCTAATTCAATCTAAAACATAGGTGCATCACTCATATTATTAAGTGTAGCAATAGACTATAGTAATTGCAATATGTTATTTTATGGTTGCAGGATAAAAGCTTTTGTTCATCTCTCATTAACAGCACTTTCCATCTTTTCCTTGAGTCAGTGAATGAGAACCATTAGTGAAAGTCTGCAGGTATAAACCTTATACAGGGCTTACAAAACACACTGCTTCCCAATTTGTCTGAATATTGGTAAAATATTTTGCAAGCCAAGTTGCCAAGACCCTCTTAAACTGTGAGGTGCGTATTAAGCTGCACAAATACTCATTATAGTTATTCCTGTTGGTGTGCAATTCGTATCACTTCACAAGCACAGCTCAGTCTGAGCGAAACAAATGGGAACAGTGCAAATATAAATTGATAAGTGGGGTACAACATGGCCCAGCACAGCATTAAAACTAATGTAAATAGGAATCAGGGTAACTGTTACCACAGGTGGCAGTCACACAGTATGGAAGTCCTTGACTCCGAAGAAGCCTGTCTCTCCATGAACAAACAGCATGCTCATGCATATGGTCCACTTGCTACCAGCTGACCCATGGAATGCGAGCTTTTGGCCCTTGGGTCAGTTCTAATCTGTAGAAGTTTTGCACCAGGATTACCAACTCCTGCTACTGTTATCCTCAATCAGTGATCAAATAAAAAAAAGTATGTTAAGATGTATACATCTGCAATATAGTGCTCTCAACTAAGTCGAACTAAGTTCTGCTTTCCATGCAAGCTGTTGTACTGGAATTTTCTTGTCAGCAAGCACAAGAGTTGAGGTTTTTATGCTTGATTGGAAAATTGCCAAATAGATTACACACTGCCACTCACATTGCCTCTTACCTATTGTTCCACCTGCTGTGCTCTTGACCATACCAACTACTGTACGTTTGAGATACAGTACTTCTTAAATTGATCCCCACAATGGGCTGGGGAATCCACATTCCATCTGGGAAAAATCCCAATGTTTTCAGACCCTTGAGCAGAAAAAAACCCCCACATCCTCATACTTTTATCATTGCAGTCAACTAGACAAACCAGAAATGGTTTGATCAACATGTTATCTTAACCAACAGTCTCTGCTTGCTACTCCTTTTTTTTAAAAAACAAATCAGGATCATAAACCACCAAGCATAAAAAGCAAGAATCCTGGCTTGTATAGGCAGCAACAACAAAAAATCATAAAAACAGTAAAGAAGTCATCCTATTTGTGAAAGATATGTCGAATACACAATTTGTTTTGTTTTTCTTTTTTGCTGTTGTTTTTTAAATGGGTTGCATTAATACAATAGTGGCATCATACCTGCTTTTTGATTTTCAAGAAACTCTCATGTTTTCCCATCTCTTGTTTACAATATCTAATCCCCTTTTAAGAAAAAATGTAATTTAAATTGCTTTGAAAGTGGAAAACCAAGTAAAAGTTATTTTAAATTAATTCTGTAGTATGAAAATTGAAAACGAAAAAGTAGGCTTAATCAAATAAAAATATTTTTTCACTATGACAATTACATATTTATTTGTGACATTAACCTGTTATGTGTAGGTATTAGATTAGAGGATATTTATTACAGGTCAGAATTGCCTTATGTCTGTGAAGGTTTGAATCCAGCCCCAGCTGTGGGTTACTGTAGTTTAGATCAGGGGTTTCTAAACTTTTCAGGATGAGGGCCACATCATATATTTTACACATTTTTGAGGGCTGAAAGAACACACACACAGGCTGACAGGAATGGACCTGAACATGCGCCATTTGCCAGGCCAGATAAAAAGCAAGGTGGGCTGGATGTGGCCCATGGGCCATAGTTTGGAGAACCCTGATCTAGATGGCTCATTTAGTGTGTTTTAAAATACATTGTTGTATATATATTTTACCAGAAGAAATAAAATAATTAAGGTAAATTACCTTTACAACTGTGTGACAATTAAAATCTTAGACAAATGAATGAATCTCAGTTTGGAAAGCATTAAATGCTGGCCAAAATGTCTTCATTTTTCATATCACACTCAGTAAAAATGTGGCTAGTCTAATCATGGGTGTTTAATTATCTGTTTTAATGATGCTTCTTAGTATCCTGATTGCTATTATTTTTAATTGAAAGGTTCAAAATAAATATAAATAATGATATAAAATTATTATATATAATATCTTCACAAACCAGCTGCTGTCACAGAGAAGAATCTGTCTACATTCCCACCAACCTACACTCTCTGGTAATGGGATACACAACAGGGCTTCTGAAGATGATCATAAACTATAGGCAGATAGTTTTTCAGTTATGGAAGCTGCTAGCTGTTTGAGGCATTGAACCATTTGAGTAAGACCCAACACTGAGAATTGTGCCTAGAAACAAATTGGAAACCATTGTGATCAATGCATGAAATATGGTCAATAAGATATTGTAGCAAAGAACAATCTAACTACAACATTTTCCATCAGCTGAGTTTTCAAAAGCAACCCTGCATATAATTCATTTAGGTAACACGAATAATAGGAATAGATCACTGACAGTTTAAGATAAACAAGTGTGATGAAGGTTTATGAATGTGTACAGTGCAGCATTTCCTCCAGAAGTGCTTCTCCAGCATGGAATGATAAATGTGCAAATATAGCATTTAACAATGTCGAAAGCCAGCTGCTCTGGCCCAAGTGTAGATGAAAGAAATAATGCTTGTGTTAAATTCTCTTGAAAAAAAAATAGAATTGTTTTGAACTATGTCACCAGATCATCCAAACCAGCAGTTTTTTATATGGCATCTTACTTATTTGGATAGTTTTTTTCTTGCAAATGTTCATTATGAGGTTGTTGTCTTCCATTCAGATCTAAACCTCTCTTTGTTACCTGGCTATGCTTCATGTGAGATGGTTGGACAGTGTCATCGAAGCGACCAACATGAATTTGACCCAACTTCGGGAGGCCATGGAAGACAGGAGGGCCTGGTGTGCTCTGGTCCATGGGGTCACGAAGAGTCGGACACGACTAAACGACTAAACAACAACAAATGATTCATGTGTGTATCTGTGCATTCCCAAGTGGCTCTGTGCTGTGGCTAGTGCTGTGAGTTCAATGAACGACAGATGAATCGAAACAATAATATTCATATGCCTGCTTGGTAAGGCACAGGGCATCATCAGTGCATACACACCAATATCACAAGCAAGAGGTAAATTCTCAGGAAACAGATTAGTTCTTATGGAATACTTGGTGGCAGAATCTATAAATAGCAAGTTCATTCTGAATTGACTGGAGAGGATGCTTGGCCATCACTTTTTTAAAAATAACTTTTTATTTATTGTCTTTTAACAGCAAGATGCTTCACTAGGAAGCAAAATCGTATGTTTCCCAACCCAGCAGCCATGGGAGTTAATATCTTAGTTAATTACACAATGCATAAATATTCATTCATCATCCTGAAGGTAGAAAGGATGTTTATTGCACATGTTAAATCTTGTCCTCTCAGAAATAGCACAGTGCTGTCATGCTTGAACATCTGGGCAACTGATGCTGAGAGTGAGATTGCAACTAGAAGAGATGTCTGCTAATTGGTGAATGGCTCCCCTGAATCACTTCTCAAAAATTTAAATATCATTGTTGGTTTTGAATTGGACCCTCCCCCAATACTGAGGGGTGGGGAGGGATGCCATTCTTTTCCCTGTTGTACTTTTCCCAATCCAGATACTCCACCAGAGATGCTACTCTACCACAGGTTTTTGGACTACAAATCCTGTAAGTCTCCATTCTGGGAGCTCTACCTACAGAACACCTCATTGTGGATCATCTGGGAGAAGGGCCTAATATGGAAGGCTCTGAGGCCTAGCTAGGCCTAGCTGTGGCCAGGTTTCCTATTTTTTTCTCAGTGATAGATGGCATCTTTCTTTCTGAACAGGAAGCTAGATGGATCTAGGCCTCAGTGCCTTCCTGTTTAGCTTTTCTCCTAGGTGAGCTAATTTTAGGTATCTATCTGTCAAGCAGGACTCCCTGAATGGAGAATTATGGGATATGTAGTACAAATCCCCTTAAATCCCACCCCTATTTGTAGGTTTTGCTATATAGATCAAACTGCAGCTCAGAGGTAAATACTGTAGTTAGTTGAGGAATGGCATGGTGTTTTATTGGAAAGACTGCCTGACTGGTATTTTTCCATCCACAGAAGTAATTGGCAGGCGGGGGGTGGGGGGGAAGAGATTTGGGGCAGGATGGAGCTGCAAGAGAAAAGGTTAAGCAGCCCCTTCCCCTAACCATGTGTTTCCTTTAAGCAGCAGCCTCCTATGGCTGCTTTATGCTTAACCATTGAGGACTGTCACATTCCTGAGATACAGGCTAAAGTAACACATGCATAAGAAACAGTATATATATAAAAGGAAACAGACATGTGGAGGCTGTTCCTCATGGTAGTGTTTCAACACGAAATTCTTGCAAACAGTTCTGGTGATGTTTACCACATAATCAGAACCACAAAGAGGAGGTTGCATTCAAACACCTTGGCGTTCTTAAGCCCACTACATATTCTCTTATCCAGATCAAAAGAGAGTTTGATCTATCAAATGGCGTATCTGGGCAGCTATATTACCTGAGGATTTACATTTACAAGGAACTCAGCAAAACAATTCAAGCAAGGGATATTCCTTTGCAGAGTCAGCCTGCATTTCTACATTGTAAAATACCTAATAGCTATACTGTTTTACCCACATTATTGTAAACAGTACATTCAGAAGTATTTCTAATTTTTGCAGAGAGGAAATGAAGATGTGTATTGAAAAGCCACAGCTCTTACAAGCAGTGCATTATGTATTTTATTAATTTGCTCCTTTTTTACATTATGGGAAACATTAATCTATTTACATTTTATGTTCTCCACACATCAGAAAGGTAGATACTCTTATGAAAACTCAATTTGTTATGTCATACAATGCTCTCCAATTCTTCATCCCTTCATCCAGAGCCTTTCCAACTCATACTGGTTTTGCAAATCAAATTGTATTGATATCATGGCTGGGAATGCAGTTAAAATATGAGTAAGCGAGTGACTTACATTCCAGTTCAAATAGGCATTATAAATTAGAAAAAAGCAAACAAACAGTAAATTGACAAATATAATGTTTAAATTAAAGTGGTAGTGCACACAAAAGCTTAACGGAATATCCAATAAATAAACTGAAATATATTACAAATAACTTATTACTTTTTACCTTTCCAATATTAAAATGTTTAATCCATTACTTCACCTGTCATTACAAAAAGATTAAAGAAACGTCTGCAAAAAAAAATATAATAAATACTTTAGAACTTTGGGTTTCGGAGGCCCAAACCCTTGTTTTCATATCTCATCACCCAGAGAACCCCAACAGTATTGTACTTTAAAAATCCTGATAGCAATACTTTTTCCCCCTAGATATGGGCTATTAAAAAAAACACACATACAAATTAGGTTAAAATAATATGCTATAATCTATGCAAATTTAGCAGATTTAAGTCTCATTAATTAAAATTAATGGGATTTAAAATGCTTTTTTTGGCTGGATCATGTGTTAAAAGTATCATCTTAATCTTTTTGCTATTGTTGCTTATTTATGGTGCTCTGTCATAAATCAAAAGGTTGAGAAATGGCAACCATAGACAATCAAACTTTAGTTTCCAGTAGGTAGCCCAATTTCCTTGACTTCCTAAGCCAATAAATAAATAGTCAAGGGAGGTACTACCATCCACTGTAATACTGTGGTATATCAAAGCAAACAGTAACATCACATTGTATGCAAGCATTCAGAATCCGGATACCAGCTGGGTTTAGCTGAAAAGCTAAGTAAAAGTTAAAATTTTCTGATCAGGCATCATGCTAACAAATTCTCTTATATGTCATACCAAACACAGGTTGTAGAAATACAATTCAGATGCAGAACTTGGGGCTCAGTCCTTAAAATATTTATCTGGATGTGAACCCAAGAAAATAATAGACTCTTACTAGCAAGTAATTTTTTTTGTAGGCTTGTGCCACATGAACGCACCAAATTTATGGCATCTCCTCAGCACAGTTTAAAGTCACTTGTGTCATTGACCTTAAACGGAATTATAGGTGTGAATATTACCTTTTGTTTGGCTACTGTTTTTAAAACCTCATCCTACAAAAAGTTCTTAAATGTTTAAAATGTATATCATTACCCTATATTTAAAGGTGACATGAAAGCCTATGTAGCTGCAAAGCCTTTTGTTTATTACAATTTGTGGAGAAAAATACTCTTAAAATATAATATAATAAACCCTAGCAAATAAGAGGCAGCTGAAATCCTTACAAGTCAGACTTTCCATGATTGCTTCATGTGTTGGGTTACTCTGGATTTTTCATTTTATTGTTTAAAAGACTTTAAAATATTAAATTATTAGCCCTTTACTTGTAAAACACAGCAGTAATATTTTGTGCCCTATTTATTAACATATAGCTTGGATATATCAATGGCTTTGAGAGGTAGAATTTTTTCTAGTGTTTTTTTTACATTTTTTTCAATGTTTTCCTTGCCAGAACCTGTTACCTCTCCCAAATTCTGGAACAAAATTAAAGGTAGCACCTAACTATGATGCTGAATTACGTGATGCATTTTGGCATGATCTGGAAATGTTGATATATTTTGTTCAAAGGCCAGCTTTTTGATGGTAACTTTTGATATTTTGAGGTGTATGCTACATAGTTATGCCAACCATGCAGTTAAGTGTTCCACAGTTGGAATGTTTTGAATGTTTTAACAGTAAGGGCACTGAAAACCAACTCCGGTAAATCACAGAGGGCAGATTTGCTGCCATAACCTCTCTTGTTTACAGAGTAGAGGGCTTCCTTGTGACAAATGAAGGCCACTTCCTGCCATGCTCAACATGGGTGCCCATGTGGGAAAAGTGATGATCCACAGAATAAATGGGCCAGAACTCTTAGTGTGGCACCTGGGAGAGCACTAATGCAAAAGGATTAGATGCAACCCCAAACCATAATCTACTAACTTCTGTCAACAGAAAGCCTAACAATTGCTTTTGGGATTAGAAGACAGACCAGCTGAACTCACCAGCTCCACAAGGACATAACTGCCAATTCTGTAATGTCAGGTTGCATATCACATCTGTTTGTCATGCATGCTAATGAGATACTGCATGCCACCCATAAAATTATGTGGCACTTCGCAGGTCCCCATGTTGTCTGCTGGCATGAATGTTAGTATCAACACGGCATGTTCTGATAACTTTCCCACCAGTACCATTTCCAAAGAATTATTTATTGTCCTTCATTTCAAAGAATCAATAATTATGTATGAACCTCAGTTTGTCAAAGCAGTTCAATAAAGAAATCAATGTGCAGCAGCAACCTCTTGATTCTCCAGAGCAGATCTAAAGAGACTGGAGGAGGAGATGTGAAGCATTTGATGTAACCAGTCTAACCTTTTGCATACAAACATGTATTTCATTTACAGTATATCAGCAACAAATATCTCAAAAGATGTGCAAAATCTGAAAGTTTTGCCAAAACTAGGACACCGAAAAGGAACACAGATTTTTTTTAAAAAAACACAAACTCCCTCCCCTTTTGTAAAACTGATGTTAATCCCTACATTACGATAGGAATTGATAATATAATACAATGTTAAAAATCCTTACAAGCTAGTTGGACAAAAATATTTCTTTAATCTACCTTTCAGCCAGTTTTCCATCTTATCCAATTTTCCCTTTTATTGCCTTTTAAAAAATAGATTATTTCCTTGGAAGATCGATTTTACAATCTTCTGCTGATCAAAAAAGATTCTAAAGTGAGTGAGAAAATAAAAAAGAGGCAGTTGTTGAAGCTGCAGGTCTCCCTTCATAGGATCGTTTACATTTTCATCTGCAAGACTCACTTCAATTTTCACTGCAGCATGCCTATCTCCCCGTGCCTTCCAAATTGTCTGGAAAGAAGATATGATTTCTGAAGATCAAAACACATGTGTGCCATACTTTTTTTTTTTTATAAAAAAACGATAGTCATATAAAGACGGGATTCTGAGCCACAGCTCCTTTCACCATTAATGAGGAAGACAACAGAATCTTAAAGGTTCACCCTGCAATACTGGATTACCAAAATACCGTATAATTGAATATTGCTGTACACTAGATAACAGACTAGCTTTAAGGACCATGAATGAATTAATTGGTGCATCTACTGTACACATGTGTGTATGTGTGCGCATGTGTATGTGTGTGAGAGTACGCATGTTGTGTATATGTGAGAGAAAGAGAGAGTGAGCATGTGTGTGTCTGTGGGATTTTCTTTTTTTTTAAACTTGAGTCAGCATCAGTACATGTGACAAAGCATTAGGTTGACATGAGCAAACCTTTAGAAAGCAAGGGGCGTTACAAGTGGAGAATCTCCTGGAGGGTTGACAACTACGCCACAGAAGTGTTACTTCATTGGGAGAGAAGAAAGAGATAAAGGGAGGGGGTGAATGCAAATACTTATTGGTGTTTCTGAGCGTGAACCTAGAAGGGCAGATGATTATACAAGAGATGTTTCTTCTTGCCATTGAGAGTCCTCCTGGCTGGATCCCTTCATAGCCTGGTCTGGGCTTCGGGGATGTAAATCTCAATGCTTTCGGCGCTTTCAGTGGCTGAGTTCTGACGGACAGACGCAGCTCGTTTGGCAGCCATCAGCCGTTTCCGTGCCTCCTGACGCTGTGAGCTCTCCAAGGAGCGTTCCCGTATGAGTGGCACCTGACCTTTCGATGGCTTCTTTGGCACTGGAGGAGGGGCCCTTCTCTCCTGATTAAAGCAGAAGGTTAATGACATTATACAGCTTCTCAGGGGAAAAATAAAACAAAAAAACAAAACAAAAGAGGAATGGGTGAGGAGAAAACAAACAAACTAGGACAGGTCAGTTAGAATACTTTTTTTTTAACCTAAAAGTTAGTTCTTATCTCTTTTTTCCTTAATTGAACTGGTCTTTATATTTCAAGGCTCATAAAAGTAACACTATCTTAAGGTAAAAAAAAAGGGGGGGCACTGATGGTAGGTAGTGCTCTTTCTCCGCGGTACCTTGCGCCAGCTACACGCTGGTGCTGAAAAGTCCCACCATTAAATACTGTATACGTGATTCCCTCTGGGAAATCTAAACTCCTTTTTCCTGGTAGCAGGGATTAAAAATGAGAACATCCGAAACAAAACTTATTACCTCTGCTTAATACAATATTGTATATCTAAGGCAGACACTATATAATTAATGCAACTCACCACCTGATGGTTAATAAAAGTCTTGGGATTTCTTAATAAAATTAACTCAACATGTTAGAATAGTGTGTAATAGATATGAAAGACACAAATAACGAGGTTTTCTCCTCTTATATACAATATACATACACAAAACTAAATGGGCTTACAACACTGAGGACTTATGAATATTTAACACAATCATATGAACTAGCAATCTGATGTTTGTTTTTCACAGCAAGAATTTAGAAACATATGAAAAAAGAGCATGTAGTTAGTGGTGGTTGGCCCAGATAACATGATACACTCACTCTTTGGATAGCGCTATAAAAGTGCTTTTTCAAGAGTAGCATTGTGCTGAATTAGCACCAGAATTAACAATTTAATTACAAACTGAAAAGCTGGTGGGGGAATTATTTAAATACCATTCTAAGAACATACATTAATCATCACTTTGGCATCCAAAGATAACATGGTTAACAAGGAGACAAGGTATATATACACATGCTATATATACATACATATATATACATATATATATATATATTAAAATTCAGAGAAAAATGTATGTTATATCTACACTTGCAGGACTCTGCATTACAAAGAGCAGCCTCTAATTCTTTTTTATCTTTATAGACTTCCATCTTTATGATGTTACGTCAAAGAAGGGATTGTTCATTACAAAAGTTGCATTATAGCTTCTAATTTTCTTGATGTTGATTGAAACAGCTTTAATTGCTTGAGTTGTAAGGTCATCATAACTGAAATTAATTTGCTAAACACATTCCATTTTATATATACAGAGACTGAGCTACACTCTTTCCCAAATCTTAGAACGAAGGATAACAAGTACAAATACAAAAAACAAAACAAAAACAAATTCACAGATATTTGCCCATCTCATTATTAAGGATGGGAAATTAGCAGTTAATTTAATGTAAGATATTAAACATTAATCTAACAATGTCTTGGTAGCTGTGCACCTCTGAACCTTTATTGTCCGATACGGATTGTAGAAACATTCCTTTTTTTTAAAAAAAATTGCTTCCCACTTTTGTTGATCAGACAGTTTATTATTAAAATATGTTCATATTGGCAATGAGGTATACTTACACCAAGTAGATGCCTAATAGATGTCTCTTTAGAGAAACTTACAAAGTTTTGGTGTGGTAAAATCACCAATAATTTAGAGCTCAGATGGCCTCTTAAGGGAGTCACAATTATTTGGTTTAGTTTAGAAAAAACAAATAAAACAGAATGGTGGAACACTCTCCCAAGGGTGTTATCCATATCAGTGAGACTCTTGCTTTCCCTTATGGAGTGTTTATTGGTGATCAGGTCTATTATTTTTCTTTTAAAATGCAGTGTTTTTGTCAACCACAGAAGAGGTCAAAGTTCTTGTGTGGCATATAAAAAGTGAAGGCATCCCTGTGTACCCACAGATCTGATTAAACTGGCTACTCCTCATGCCTTACTTCTCCTTAAGCCTATGTTTGATGAAACACACAAATGTTATGGGGTGAAAAGAAAACAAAATGCTGGGAAAACCAGAATATTTAGAGTATTTATTTTATGAAAAATATTAAACTGTACACAGTTTTTGGTTAATGATGTATTAATATATTAATGACACCAAGTTTGTTTTCAAAAGAGGAAGCACAGAAATAGTTGTTGTAGATAAAACTAGGTAGAGGATAACTGGAAATAAGTAAGAAATATGTTTGTTTCTTCCTACCAATAGGGTCTGAAGCTTCTTCATACCTTGCAAATTAGATTTCTTTTGTTCAGGGAGTAGTCACTGGAAGGGACGCACCAGATTTGCGAATTGGTTGAAGATTTGAAACAAATTATGTCTTTAGAGGGATAATGTTTTGTCATATTCTAATTTTTGTCCTTTGGTGTCTTGAACAAGCAGGGAGAGGGGGAGGGCCTATTGCCTTTCCTTTTCAAGACCCTTTTTAGAATCCAAACACATACCTGAGCTTTTTCTAGTAAAAAGACAAAGATAAATTAATATTTCTTGATTCCTTCACATTTATGGCTGGAAGAATATACAGCCTCCATTTCTGAGTTGTTTTCTGTCTTTCACACACATCTGGAAATAAACTGGGTTGCATTACATCTAGATAGGCCATTAAATCAATGAGGCATCTCTTTATAAAAAGGATGAAGATCCCTCAGCACAGATTTTTCTGGAGGTTTAATGGGATGAGGGGAGAGGGAGGAAGGGGAAACATTGCCTTCAGCATGACTGGAACTCTGCTAAGTACTATTTGAGATCCAATCCAATTTTAAAAAGCTCCCCAAGTATTTCATGTCTGCTTCTCTGTTAGTCATAAGTAGAGATGGAGACTTTGTATTCATATCTTGGGGATACATGTATGAACTGTGGCACCACGGGTGCTGTGGGGGCACAAATCTGCCCCCCAGAACTGGCCAGCTCACTCACCAGGCTCTGTTTGGTGCTCATACTCCGGTGGCAATGCACCAATTGTAGCAAGAGTCCAGCTGGAACTTCCCTGTCTCCCCTGTGCAGCCAAACCACCTCAGCACGGAAGTGGGAGGGAGAATCTCCTTGCTCAGCCAAAGAATGGCCAGCTGCACCAGGTGGGATGGAGGTGAAGGGCCAACCAGACTCCTGCTGGGATTGGTACGCGGCTGCCAAAGGAGGAGATGGACCTGGTGACGGGGCTGGCTAGTTCTGGGGGAGGGAATTGGGCCCCCACAGCACAGAGTTTTATTCATATCCCCGAGATACAAATACAAAGTACCCATCTCTAGACAAGACTAAGCTAATGCTATTAAGAATAAGTAGGTAGAAGTATATTGAATATTACATTATTTTAGTGTGGAGATAGTATTTCAGGGACGATTTTCAGCTTCTCTCCAAAATACAATTCGCTCTCCAGTTTTGGGATTTGAACAAGAAAAAAACAAACAAACAATTAGCACAGATGATTTGATATTTCTTCCCCCACCCTTCCTTCTAATGCTTATACCTCCACTTATGTTGCTTTATCTGAATATTTTAATTTTGTATCGGTTAATTAAATTTGTACCTAGTCTTACTGATTCTAATGGAATTTTGGTGGTACTGTATAGGCTCAGGTTTCAAATGCTTACTGATTCACCTGATACATCTGAGGTGTGAAAGCAATGGACTACTACATTTGCAGAGTATCTGCTTCTGATACAAATGCTTAAAACAAACAAGTGAACAAACAAACAAATGAACAAGTAAACAAAGCTCTGTTCCAAAGCACAATAAAAATAAATAAAATCCACCTTACTCTGCAAAACACAACAAAGCCTTGGTTTACTGTCTTATTGTTCCAGAACTAGGCTGGGTTGAATGGAATAAGTGAGGTGAACCCATTTATGAGGACCCCCTCAAAGCAAACAAACTAAAGCAATGATTATGAGAAGTTTACCATGTAACTTTTTTGATGTTTTGGTTTGAGAATACCCATACATTTATCCATGGGAATGGGGGCTGGTTCTCAAGTCAGTGATGATTACAGTGCTTCCCTAGTTACTTACTTATACATTTCATACTGCATTAGTAAACAGAACTCTTACACTAGGCAGTACTACGTACTGTCTGTATTATTTATTTAGAATGTAAGAATCAATATATGAGGCAGTTCCTTCCAACAGTTGATTATCTAATATGATTATTTGTTAAATATAATAAGACAAATGAGCACATTCCCATTATTCAATTCACAGAAACAAGTTTGCCTTAAAAATATGCCTGAAACATATTACAGATAATATCTCAGGTGATTATTATGTAAACATTTTTTCTTTTTACAATGAAATTAATCTGATATGATCTCCATTTCATGTTTTTAACATCAGTGCTGTATGCAGAGGCCTATTTAATCTGTCCAGTATTTGTGCAGGGTTTTAAATGAAGCATACAAAATCGACAATGTTCTACCTTCTTGTCATGTGGATCCATCTGTTTCCAATTATTGGCCTTTAACTGATGAAGTTCATCAAATTTCATACTAATATTTTCAATGGATAACTGCAGCATATCCCAAAACCCTGCTAAGTCCTGCGAGGCTGGCCTTGGGTGTGCATTGGGATTCTGTGCAATAGAAGAAAAGAAGCATGAAAAACATGTTACCCTTTTAAAGAAACACTGAAAACGAAATCAACTATTGCAGTGCTATTTATTTTGATCAGATAAGTTTAGCTGATGTATCTGATTCATCTGGATCACTGCTTATTTTATAAATTAAACCACGAATGCCCATTCACAGAGACAGACAAAATGCTTTCTTTTAAGGCTGTGAGGTTGCCATCCATCAACAAAATCTTCCAAGGCACTTCTATAAGAACGGAGGCAATTCAGAGTTAGTCATATTGGCCTTTGTTGTCGCATTAACAGTGTGCTGGATATACTGTGCTTACAATTCCCACTTCTTTTGTAATCTTATAAAGATGGTGTCCTAGCTGAAGGCATCTATGCTGAGTATTAACCAAAAGGCTCTCTTATGCTTTTTTCTATATACCTGCAATTATATGGCCTTGAATGAATCTTCTATTCACTGTTCATAGCATAGATTAACGCAAGAGAGCTGAAAAAGACAAGCCAGTTGAATGGCTGTAGTTACTTTTTTGGATGAAAATTCTCATTATCCTAGCTCCTGCTGAGTGGGAGAGTCTGGGAATTATTATTGTAAAAAATTACTCTTCTAAGCTCTGAATGGCTATTAATCAGAGTCAACAGCTCTGGGTTAGATTGCACTGATGAACTGACTCATTATACATCTTTATACAGTTGTGCCCCACTTAACGATTACCCCGCATTACGACGAATCCTCTTCACGACGATGTTTTTGCGATCGTAATTGCTATTGCTTATTGTTGGTTTTTCAAAATGGCCGCCAGGTGCTCAAAATGGCTCCCTGCTGTGCTTAGGGACAGATTCCTCGCTATACAGGCACCGAAAATGGCCACCGTATGGAGGATCTTCAGTAGACGGTGAGTTTTTAGCCCACTGGAATGCATTAACCGGATTTTAATGCGTTTCAATGGGTTTTTTATTTTTGCTTTACGATGTTTTTGCTCTACAGCGATTTCGCTGGAACAAATTAACGTCGCTAAGCGAGGCACCACTGCATGTTTAATTAGTTTTATTTACAGGAATTTCAGCTTGAGAAGGGGTTAATTTAGAAAATAGTATTCCTTGGAATCACTTGGCATCTATGCTCCACTGCAAGCGCTATCTCTGATTCAAAGAAATACTGTACAGTAGCTTAATACTTTATGATCTGTTGCCTCATACAATTGCTAATTAAGCATAGCTCGTTTGAGCCTGTTTTCTTCTTCTCTTGTGCCCTTGAAAGACAATGGGTACAAGCACTTTTATATTATCAAAGTGAAACAGAATATTCTTAGTTTTACTTTTTGAAATTATTTGTACATTACCGTATTTTTCCACGTGTACAACTGCCCAATGTATATGACAACCCCCTAATTTTGTCCTTTGCTGGAGGTGGAGGAGCAGTCAATGGGCAGCTGCTAGGGGCAACTTTGCCTCCATCTCCTGCTGCCTCCACCACCCGATCAGGTCACCACCTTGTCCCCTGCCCAAAGGGAGCCCACGAGTGGTGCTGGAGGAGGCAATCCAGCGGTGGAGGCAGCAGCAGGAGGCGGTGGAGATGGAGGCAAAGGAAGGAGCAGCCATGCTAGGCCACCTCATGCTGCTGCTCATTGACTGCTGCTGCCACTGCCAGATCGCCTCCTCCAGTGCCACTCGCAGGCTCCCACTGGGCAGGGGACAAGGTGGCGACATGAGCTGGAGGTGAGCCGTGGCAGGAGAAGGAGGCGATCTGGCGGTGGCGACAGCAGTCAATGGGCAGCCGCGAGAGGCAGAAGGAGGCGATCTGGTCGTGACGACAGCAGTCAATGGGCAGCCGCAAGAGGCAGTGAGCATGGCTGCTCTTTTCCCTCTGCCTCCACCTCCTTCTGCGTACAAAACGACCCTGAATTTTTCCTCTAATGATTTTAGCCAAAAGTGTCACCTCTGAGTACTTTTATACTTAGAATACCCTGGATGGGTTGATAATAACACACAATTATTATTAGATACAAACAGGATTGAGGTGTACAAAGAAAAGGGTGACTGTAATATGCTGTGCAGGTGAAAGAGGCAAATAAGAAAAAAAAACACTGTTGCTACTCAGATGAAATGTACTGGAGGAAAACCTGTTTACTTTTAGAAATTACGGTCAAAGCTCCTAAATCTATTTTTTGTTTATTTAATTTATACCCATATTTCTCCCAGTAGGGGGACTCAAAGAATATACAAAGAATTTACAAAATAAATACTATAAAACAACTGAAAATATAGCAAAATACAGTGTTAAAAAATTAAATTTGTAAAAGTCATATTTTAAAATATCTGTGAAATATCAAGGTATTTAGTGTAACCAACACTGTATACAACTTCTGGCTGAATAAAGATCTGAATAATATTATCAAGTTGCATCCACCATTTATATGACATACCAGATTTTCTTCACACAGTTCTCTGAACTGGTAAAATTTCTGAGCCATGAGAAGCTGGGCACTTCCAACTGCCGTTCGAATTTTACCTATAACTTGAAAAGAAAGCAGAAGATTTGAAAAGACTTCTGGAGACTTTTACGATAAAGCCATGTAAACAATTGTTGAAGATCCCTCTGTTTTTACTAAAAGATTTGAAGAACTTGGAAAAGTTACTATTTTGACCTAGAGCTCTCTGAATCTACCAGTTAGCATAGTTGATGGCTGGTGATCATATCAACTGGCGAATTCTGAGAGCTGTGGTCCAAAAAAGTACTATTTCCAAACTCTGGATGCTTGGAGACTTAAGCTATCAAGTACATCTAGAAACTGTACATACATTCCTCCCAGTGAAGCCCCTTCTCCCACTCAATTTCCTGAGGAGAAATGCAGTGGGGCAGGGAACAGTTGAATGGCTTCTTAGTACAAATAACCACAAGCATGAACTTCAGCTTCAACTGTCTTTTTGAAGTTTCTAATCACCTTCCTAATTCCTCCATGCATTTTGACTTGCATTAGTCTTAAAGTTCTTTTTATAAAATTGTCTGCATTTGCATACATTTCAGGAGATCCATTCATCTTGCATTATCCAAACACACGGGCTTCCATAAGTAGCCATTTTACACTGACTAAAATCCTGCTGGGTGAACTATACCTGTGTAAAGGCGACAGCATCACTGGTAGTAATCAAAGGGTTCCTGCTTTGATCCCTGGGCATTCCTGACTCACCAAGAACTCTCTCACAACCAGTCTCATTGATCTGTGGGGTCTGACAGGGATTCTGGGAGTTGTAGTTCAAGAAGATGAGTGGCCCTAAAACTGGACACAGCTAATGTACAGCATGTCTCTGGCTATATTTCTCCTATTGTATCAAAATATTCCTCTTTACTCCTGTTGTTGCAGAATGCTAGTTGTTTAACGCTTTTTAAATATTGTAATAATTTATTATTTGTTTTTAACTTTGTTTTAAATGCTGTTATCTGCCTTGGATCCTTCGAGAGAAAGGCATATAAATACTTTAAATAAATAAAAATGCAATTTGTGGGTGCAAGTGGTTGACCACTGTGGGAGCAGTGTGTTACACTAGATAAGCCTTTGGTGTAGTCCAGGATGACTTTGTTTATGTCCTTTTCATCCTAATCTGACTTCAGAACAGCGACACATGTTGAGGATACATTATATTTCCACAGCCATTCAGATAGGGGAAATAATGCCCTAGCTAGAAATTGCTTCACATATTCCAGTCCTTAAATATTGCTAAAAGGTCAACATGGGAAAGACGATTTGAGAGGAATCACAGAAACATATGTAGCATTTGTGCTTAGGGCTGATATGTTCCACATGAATACGTGGAGCAATGGATTTTTGGGATTCCCCAAGGGAGTGAATACACACAATGGAGTGTGCATGAGGAAGAAATATACTCTTAGGCTAGAATGCAGTTCTGGAATGGCATGCTACAATGACATATTACATGGGAAACAGTCTGATAGATGAGTTCCAGGGTGCCCTGTGTTGGTGACATCACAACAGGTCTTGAGATAAATATTTTGGATCGCAGCTGCTGAGGCTATTTCTGATTGTAAAAAATGTTTTGGGATGATTTTACCAAGGGAAACAAACCCTATTCCATGCCTCTTAGTACTTAGCACTGTAAAATTAAATATTACATCAGTGCCAATTATGGAAGTATGGGAAACTCCAGTACTATCTTTCAAGGGAATAAAGAAGTCAGCACATATAGAAATAACTTGGCTGCATTGGTGAGCTTTTTGATGAGGATATGGATTATGGACATATAGATATGGATATGGATATACCTAGAAAAACACATGCTCATAAGTCAGGAACTGAAGGCATGGTTTTGTCCAATATAATCAAACTGAGGTGCTGGATGGCAATATGAATAAATATCAATCACTGAGACAGTAATCTCTTATCAGGGAGGAGGTCTCCTTGGACACCATGTAACTTATTTCTAAGTAAGCACATAGAAAACCACTTTATAAATGTAAGAAGTGTAAGCAAGGAGATCTGCTACAGTTCTTTAAAACTCAGAGGAAATAATTCCAGGTCTCTGCAAGAGAGAGCGTTTTTTGAGCATGTTCCTGGTTTTAGGCATCAGTTCTGACAGGAAATAACAGTGAACTGGACGTTTTACGTGGAAATATCTCCACGGGGCTTCACAGGCGATTCTACCCACAACTGCCAGTCTGCTATTATTGTTTGTAAGGGTTGCGTGTCTAATTCCCTGAGCCCTGTGCTGAAAATGTACCCCTTGGTGTGTCTAGTCCTTTATTCATCCTAATGTGCAAACCACTCAACTGAAAGGAGCCTTCAATAGTGGGGAGGAGTTATTCAGAGAGCTTTCATGTGGTTCCCATTGTTATGAAAACTCTTCCCACTGCATCTCCTTCGGAACAGCTGCCTCAGCTGGAGCTGGGCCATCTGACACTCCACAAGGCATCTCAAGAACTGAAAATCAGGGTAGAACGGGGAAGTGGATAGAAGTGGTCTCTCAACTTCGCCTAAGGAGGAAATGTTGTTTTTTAAAAATCCCAAAATTGCTCGGGTGCTTGGATTGGCAAGGCAAGTGACTTAAAAATAAATTGCTTGACTGTGCAGAGTTAGCCACACTTAATTGGTAACAACTGAGCGACTCTGATTTCCAAAGGCTTGACTGAGGGGGATGAAAAGAACAAATGCCTGGATACCCCAACTGTATAGTGATTGGTTCAAGACAACTTCTCTTGTGATTGTGAGATGCACACTGTGGAGGGACTTGGGAAGCAGCCTTATACTGAGAGTACATCTACACAGTTACGCAGCTTGATTCCATCTGAACTATAGTGATTCCTATGGAACCTTACTATCTCTTGTTTGGTGGTGTACTGAGAAGACTCTGCTGCTGTTCCAGGGGAGTGCCATTGTTCTCCAGCACAGAATTCTAAGCATCTCCCCAAGTTACAAATCCCAGAATCTCATAGGACAGGGCCATGCCATGCAGTTTAAGAGGTGTCAGATTGCTATAACTGTATCATGAAGACACATTCCAGGTCAGAAAATCGATTGCTGATGCTCAGTGGCTGCACTTCTCCAGGTGTTTGGGGATATATGTTTTTTAAAGTCCTAAGTAAAGATGCCAGGGCTCAGACTTTGTCCCTTTGGGAGAAATGCCTATAGCTAGTACGGGAGTCAATGGTATCTTATAATTACAGTGTGGGGAGCACTGTACTCTAACATTTGAGGGCAAAGAGCCCCCAGCCCATGAGCTTCTCTTAACTGAACCACTGCTAGAAATTATGGATATCTAAATCCTGAACAATCTGGTTTTGGACTGATTTCAGTCCTTTTGGGACTCAACCAGAGACGTGAGGGATTATATTTAGATGGCACATCACACATGCCTCCAGGATTACTCAGAAAGTGATTTGCCAACTAATATTTTCCAGGTTCATGGGGGCAGGGGAGGACTGAAAGGAATCTGGGGACTTCTACACTTTATCTACCCCCTGCTTTAAATCAATCAATCAATCAATCAATCAATCAATCAATCAATCAATCAATCAATCAATCCTCTGTTGTAGACCAAATCACATTTAGAGGGGAAAAACCCATAAAAATCTAGAAATGTGTTTTGTTTACTGTTTCCTTTGTGGTACACTGCAGTTGAAAGGGTCTATTTTCATAATAGAATTTTTGTGTTTAATGTATTTCTTCCCCCATTTTGTGTTACTTTATTGATTGTGCACAATATTGACCACGTGGAGCACTGTAATAGCATTACTTCAGCCTTTCTCCATCAGGATGGGACCAAAGTGTGTACCCCTGGCTCCCCCTCCATGTTTTAGATTTCCAAGAGGGCTTGAAATGTTCCACCTTCCTAAGGAAACTACAGACCATATTTCAGAGCTACCAACCCTGATCACAACTTCCCTTGCACCCGTGATACTGGCGCTGTCTCCTGGTGCCCACACATTGCAGCGCTGAAACTAGTGTCAAAAACTAAAGAAGGGAAAACAGCAACAAAGAAAAATCATTTGCTTTTTGGGTTTATTTTACACCACTATTGGTTAGTGGTGTATTTTTGTTCTGCTTTGCTATGATTTGCTGCAATGCAGGATCTGCTCTTGTGGACCCTAGTACTGCATTATCCCATACTGATCCACAGACTTTGTATTTTTAATGATTATATATATTTTATATTGATTTTTATGTTGTAAGCCGCCCCGAGTAGACATGGTCTAGAGGGGTGGGGNNNAATAAATAAATAAATAAATAAATAAATAAATAAATTTGTGGGTGGATGTCATCTGATGTTTCTTTATGGGTGTTTTTCTGCTGGTCAATCCACATCCTATGGATGGATAGAAGAAGGAGGGAGGGGAGGAGAGAGCAAAATTTGTGGAGACAGGACAGAGAAGAGAGGCAAAAAGGAAGGGAAATTTGTGCAGGGAGTGAGAAGACAGGGTGCAGTTCTGGATGAGTGTGGACAAGCTTGTACATCCAGCAATACATATCCTCCCCATATGTAGATGTGAATACTGGAACTATCTAGTCAAGTCTGCACCAAAAAAAATACGAGCCCAAAAATGACTAGAGACAACATCACTTTGTGGACAAGCCTTCAGAGAATAATAGCTCATTACCAGGGATGTTGAGGCTCAGATCAAGAACATTCTACAAACTATGAGAACCCTAGTTTCTCATGCTGTAACAATACATTCAACTACCAACCTCTGTCACTGTATATCTAACCACAATTATTTAATTCTGGGGGAGGATATGCTTCCTCAGATTAATACTGTACTACTAGCATAGATACTCCCAAGTCTCCACAGTTTGCTAATCTTGTAATGTCTGATTTAGTGTAACGGTTTCCCAGTTCCTGTCCCCTAATGTTTCTCTTTTCTTGAGCTATACTAATGACATCTGTATCATCTGGAGCCATTGACAAGAGATATCATCAGGACTTCAGTACATTTGACCTTACCATCAATCTCAGTCTAGAGTAACCCACACAGTGGGTGTACTGTCTGGATAGTGCTATGCAACT